TCGGTGCAGCTAAGATTGCCTAGCACCTTCTTCCCTCGACCTCATCTTTCATTCTGCCACAAGGCCTTTCTTTCTGGAAAAGAAACGGATCATGCTTTTGTCTGCTAAGGAACATTTAGTAGTTCTTGAGTGAATTATTCTATTAGCAAGTACTTTTCGAGTCCTTACTATCTGCCAAGCACAGAAGCTTTGAGGGTGTAGTTGGTTATGCATTGACTGGCAAACCAACAGTCAGTGGTTCGAAGACACCAGCCACTTCATGGGGAAAAAGATGAGGCTGTCTACTTCTGTAAAGATTTAAAGTCCCAGAAACCCAAAGGGACAGTTCTACCCTGACCTAGAGGGGTCAGAGTCAACTCAATGGCAGTGGATTTTGTTTTATAGGCCAGACACTATTTTACATGTATATATATATATATATATATATATATATATATATATATACTTGTTTGAAATTCTAAGCAAATTAAAACTATGACATAGGTATGTTTATTATTTGTCCCTATTACAGATTAAAAAACTAACAAAACAAAACAAAACCAGACACAAGGTTAACGAACTTAGAAGGCTTTAATACCAGGCAGTCTGGCTTTAGAATCTGGGCTTTTAATCACACTATACTGTTTTTCTAAGGCACTCTGGTAGCGGAGTGGGTTATGCATTGAGCTGTTAACCACAAGGTCAGCAGCCTGAATCCATCAGCTGTTCCATGAGAGAAAGACGAGGCTACCTATTTGTGTTAGTCTGGGTAGACTAGAGAAACAAATTCATAAACACATATATGTGTCTAAGAAAGAGCTTTATATACAAGAGCAATTGAATATTGAGAAAACTTCCCAGCCCAGTCCAGATCAAGTCCACAAGTCCGATATTAGCCCATATGTCCAATAGCAATTTAAAAATTCCTCTTCAGACTCATGAAACACATGCAATGACACTGAATGCAGGAAGATCACAGGCCTGTGGATCCAGTGGCGGTAGAGGCATCTCAACGCTGGCAGGGGTCTCCATGTGGCTCCTGCAGCTGCAGGGCTCTAGCGTAGCTCCATGTGTCTTGTCAGAAAGCATGCCTTGCAGGGAGTGAGTGTGTGTCCCGCCTCCAGCAAGCTATTTATCTCCTTAGTGCTTCCAAATGAGGTCATCAAGCTGTGATCTGATTGACAGGCTAGATTCTACCCCTCCACTGTTAAGCCTCAAATTGACAACAGAATACATAACTACCATGCTACTCCTGTAACGGATTAAAGTCTTGAAAACCCTGTCCTAAAAAAAATCACTGAGTTGGCATCAACTCCATGGCAGTAAGTTTGGTTTTGGTACCGTTTTCAACTCTTCACAGAACACAGAACCAAGACATAATTGCTTAGCCTCCCTCCCAATCTCTTTCTTCCTGCACCTGACCATGCCTCCCTTTCCGCGTCATCTTCTGTAGTCTGTGGCTCACAGCAGTAGACAGCTTACTTAACGTACTGTATATGTGTATGACTTGCTTCCTTCCTTAGGCTTTTCTCTCAAGCAGAAATAACTTTTAAGTGTTCTTTCATCATTCAAAAAAATTCACTTATACCAACAAATATTTGTTGTGCCCTGACCTATGATAAAAGAGCCTTGGTGTCACAATGGATTAAGTGTTGGGCTGCTAACCGCATGGTTGGTGGTATGAACCTGCCCGCTGCACCGCAGGAGAAATATGAGGCAACTGACGTCCACCAAGCGTCACAGCTCGGAAAGCCAGCTCTACTCTGTGCTGTGGGGTTGCTATGTGTGATTCAGAAGAGACTCAGCAGCGGTGGGTTTTTGGAACTCCGTGCCAGGCAGTGGATTCGGGTGCTAGGTTACCACAGTAAATAGGCAAATCCCCGATTCGGGAGTCGGTGTGTTAGTGAGGGGGCAGTTACAATGTGGTGGAAAAACATCACCTCCCCTGCGGAATCCTGTGTTCTCTCCAGTCCCAAGCTTCTGCCTGAGACTTCCGCTGTACGTTTTAACCCCCCTCCACAGCATGTTTCACAGCCGCCCTTGCCTCTCTTCGCTCATCGCTCGTTCTGTTGTATCATCTGCTTCTCTCGGGGACGTGTGTGTTCTTCGGTGCCTTGTGTGGACAAACGAAAGAAATGGTTGAACCTGACCACGTGAAAGCATGAAGAAATGAGAGAGAGGAAAAAAATCAAAATAATAGGTTGTGAAATGGGAGGGGGGGATCTCTGTTTTTGTTTTTAAGACTGCATTCATTTGCATCTTTAGGACCATCCAAATGATTCACGACGAAATGAGTTATAGAAAGTGCACCAACCTTCCTCTCTCTTTGACAGTAACTTTAGATGAGAAAGGCTCTTGAATGGGCCAAAAGCATCTTTGCCGCCTGCAAAGACATTAATTATAAGGGAGCAGCAATTTGCATTATTTATAAGGAAGCTATTTACATGATTTAGCCCCACCAGACCCATTTACTGCTGAGCTCCACTCTTAGCCTGCACTGGCAAAGAATAAAGAGAAATGTTAAGGAAATAGCAAAGCTATTGTAATAGCTGCATCTCATTACCTGGGAGATAACACCTCTAAACATATTCTCTCTCTCTCTCTCATTCTTTTTTTGAATGCCCCCAATATAATTTAGCTGGAAGAACATGGAAACTTCCATTTCATCCTGGTGATGATTCAGAGGATAGTACCCATTTAAATATTCACACAAGCTTCCAGAAACTACTGAAAGCCAAGCATTGCTAACTTTAGTCTGTGCAAGAAGGAAACATGACGAAGATGTAACATTTCATAATTCAAGTACTTGAATTTAATTAGTCACATTTTCTTTCTGTCAGTGACTTTGAACTGCAAGCATCTGCATGATGGGAAAGTTTGTGGGAGTAGCCAGATCGGGGCATAAGATGTTACCTGTCTCCTCCCTGACCGTTTCCACTTCAGCTAATCCTGCTGTTTCACTTTCATCCCTATCAGAGATAGTACTCGTGGCAAATTACACCAGCTTTGATCTGCAGTGGACGAGCCTGCCTGGTACATGAGAACAAAGGGAAAGATGAAAGGGAGAGGGTTTCCCACATGGCATTTTTGTTGTCCATCAATATTTTCTGTAATTGCCTCTTGGATGAATGCTTCCTTTAACTCTCAATACTTTTAAGTGAATTAAAAATGTGTTTTCATTGTTCACTTGGAGACAAGACCTAAGCCTTGTCGATCAAAGGGGTATTTCTATATCCTAATTGGAAAAGAGTCCTTACAGTGTGATGCCAGAGCATTCTACTCCCTGCCAGGAAGACTTTCAAGAGTGCAATCACTCTGATAAACAAAATCCCCACCATCTTCCCTAAAAAATGTATTTGACTACAGTAGCCATGATACATGAGGCTGGTCTTCCAAATTAGCACAGGCCCGCAGAGCCTGCAAGAAATTAAGTCTCATCTGAAAGAAATCAGACTGTGGTCCGTTAAGTTTCTACATTTTAAATGGAAAGTTGGGCTGACAAGGTGTTAGGTTCTCTGTCTCTATTTATTTTACGTGTCACAGAACTGGGAGCAGTGTTAAGTGTTATAAGTCTATTTTTCTAAGCTATTAAATATTTCTGGTCTTCCTCCTTGAAGCTGACTTTTTGCGCATTGCATTTATAAGGAAAACAGAGTTCACATTACTCAGAAACTCCTACTTTGAATTAATCAATCTAACTCTCACTATTGCCCAAGATAGAAGTTCCCTCATCCTGAAGCACTTCTCTTTAAGACCAGAAGTTTCTCTTTCAAAGCAAAAGTCTCCAAGTTTCCCCCTCAATTACTTTTTAAAATGAAAAAAAAAATTACATATACCTTGAGAGGTGATATTTTAAGTCACTAGTATGCATCGATGTCCAATGGTTAAGGCTGAGAAAAATGTTCATTAACTTAGAATATAGTGATAGCTCGGATCAGGCTATAAGAGGAATGAATACATAAAATGCAACCATTGTCATTAGGCACAGACAGTTCCACAATTGTTGTTAGCTGCTGTGGGGTCAGTTCTGACTCACATAAACTTTATGTACAACAGAAAGAAAGCCTGCACGGTCCTGTGCCATCCTCACAATGGTTTCATGCTTGCACAATTAGAGACCCCAAGTACAAAAATAAGGGAGGAAACAGATCAGTCTGATGTCCTTAATCTTAAATGCTTGTCAGCTGTTTTCCTGGTTCCCTGTGCTTTGCCTGTCTTCCCCAATAGAACATCATTCTGAGGGTATGACCCTGCTCGCCTCTCCCACCTTAACTTGCTTACCAACTTCAATTGGATTAGTAAACATCCTTAAGGCATCACTAGGGCCTATTCATGTTGCCTGAATTTAAAGCGAGGACTGGGTTCCTGAAGCTTCTGTTTTCTCTGACGTTGCTCATATAACTTAACCTTCCTAAGCTTTGGTTTCTTCAAGTGTGAAGTGGAGGTACTAACAATAACTTAAGGCATAAAGCAGTTATGAATACTATATGAGATACATGAAATTTTATGTTACAAGTTCTTCGAACAATGCTGGGCATATACGAGAGGGCTTCAAAAAGTTTGTGGAAAGAATTCCATTGTCCTCTGATCCCAGGTACCTTCAAACTCGTTGAAGCCTCCTCATATTAGTAACCATCATGACCACCATCCAGAGGACATCCTGGATTTGTGATCATAAATATTTGGCTCCAATATTCCCTGGCTCTCAGTCCAGACCTTCTTAATTTTATGATCTCCTTCTCCCCTTCATCGCTCATCTCCTAGACGATAGGTTAGAACTGCCCCTGTGGGTTTCGTTGACTGTCAGAAATGACTGGACAGCCGTGTTTGGGAGCTAGCCATCCAGAGGGCCAAAGGGCAACTCCCCCTGCAAGAACATCCTTGTTTGGGGGTCCGGTTCTGCCCTGCTCTAGCCTCCAGGGGCCGCTGTGTTTCCCGGAAAGTGCGCGGGACGCCTGGTTGCCGCGAGACCGTCGCCTGGCAACCGCGCGTCCACCTGGCCTCCTCGGAGCCGTGTCAGGATGGCAGCTCTGCGGCTCTCCTCGTCGCCCACGTTGGTGTCGCCGCCGGTGCCACCGCCAACGCCCATCTCGAACACGACGGTGCTCTCCAAGTCGCCCAGGGAATCCAAGACGTGCTCTCCGATCCTGCTGCGGCGATCCTCCTGCTCGGAGGACACGCTGCCCGGTGCGGTGTTTTATGGGCCGCTGGACGCTAAAAACCCGCTCCTGGCCTCTTGTGAGAAGGAGATCCAGGAGTTGCTGGGTTTTATGAAGAGGAAGAAGACTGGAGCGACCACGGAGGACCAAGTGCACGACGTCCACCGGCGTTGGTAAGTGGAGGCAGGGCCTGGAAAGGGCTCGTCTGAGGGCCAGTGGAGGAGATGGATGGATGGCGGTGGCGGCTGCCTGCGGCGGTCCTGGCCCCTGGGGCCTGGAGACTTGGACAGAGTTTGAGAAGTGGAGGTGCACTGCTATCCCAGTCCACAATACCTGGTGAATTTTATATCTCAGCTTCCTGCGCAGGTCAAAATTACAATGCCAATGCCAAGTGTTTCATAACCCGCCACTCAATCTGTGTCGGAGTGTCTTCAAATTGCTACTCCACACGAATAATTTCTTGGCCCCCTCGTGTGGTTTCACAACCTTCTAGATTAGAGGTAAATCATTTTGTGTATGGAGAGAGCGGTAGGGAACTTGGCCCTTGAAGACGTTCTCGGTGCCTTGAAGTACAGCATCCTCAAACATGTACACGCTCACTGCTTTCCCATTGTCACGAGGGTCACAGCAACGTTTTCTTGACTCTCTGCCTCATTTTGCACGTCTGCCCCCTCCTCGCCTTGTTCTGTCACCGTAAAGTTCTTACTGCCAAGTGACAGCTTAAGTTTCTTCCCGTGGCAAACTGCAGAGTTGTAAGAGTAGGCACGTGGACAAAAAAGTTATGATGGTTTTCACGTGTTTTTCATTCATGCATATAATACAAAGACACATTTTTGACAAATCTATTATTCATCATGAATGTAACAACCATTTATTGGGAACCCGCCCAGCAGTTCCTGGATAAAGACCTGGTGACCTGCTCCCATAAATATGGGAGCTCAGAGCACACAGAAGGGCAGCGGTCCTCTGTCACAGGGTGGCTGTGGATCAAATGCAGCTCAACAGCACTTGACAACCAATCGGTCTTGGGGGTACGGTCAGCAGGCTCCTTACAGGTGAGACTTCGTCACAGATATTTTCACACATCGTTGAGTGGGATCAGTCTTCAGAGAAGAATATTATGCTTGGTAAAGAAAAAAACCAAACCAAGTTCACTGTCATCCTGTCAATTCTGACTACAGGGTAGCACTGCTCCTGTGGGTAGAAAGTCTCTCTCCTGCGGTGGGGCTGCTGACTTGGAACTGCTGACCTTCCGATTAGTAGCCAGACAGGTCACCCACTGTGCCACTCGGGCTCCACATTAGTAAAGTTGAAGTGAAAGAGGAAGACCCTCAACCAGATGGACTGTCACAACGGCTGCACCAGTGCGCTCAGCTGTTGTGAAGATCATGCAAATAAATAAATTAAAAGATCATGCAGTGTTTCATTCTGAACCTAGCCAATGCCCTTAACAATAACACACACACACACACATACACACACCCCCCAGGTACTAGTCTAGAAACTGGGAAAACATCAAACTATCAAAAGATATAAATATTTTACTCTGATGGAATATATATAGTGTATATATATATTCAAATCATTTTATTAGGACATAATCCAGACATCATACCATTCAATTCAGTCATATCAAGAAGTATTGCACAATCACTACAACAGTTAGTTTTAAAAAATTTTCTTCCTTGTACTTTTTGATATTGCAACTTATATTTTTGAGCCTCTCACTCAACTCACTTCCTCTTAGCGACCCTATGGGATGGAGTAGAATTGCCCTTGTGGGTTTCCAACACTGTTACTCTCTATGAGAGCAGAAAGCCCTCTTCTAGAAAGTCTCCTGGATTTTTGAGCATAGACAACCACTGTACAAAGAAATAAACGCTAGCGAGAAAAACAACAGGGACTTGGGGTGTGTGTGGTGGGGGTGGAGCATTGGATATGGGATGAGTGTTGCCATTTAAAATGGAGAACTAAGGACTTGTGGGGAGGGGAATTAATAGGTGGGGCATGGGTGACTTTTAGGGCTGTGGAACTACTCTGTATAGTGCAGTGGTTCTCAACCTTCCTGATGCTGCGACCCTTTAATATAGTTCCACATGTGGTGTGACCCCCCAACCATAAAATTTTTTGCAGAGACTTTGTGCAAGAAGAGGATTTACGGGAATTCCCTGTACTTTCTGCATAATTTCTGAAAGCCTAAGCTTGCTCTAAAAAAATGAAGTGTATTAATTAAGAAAACGTATTATTTTGCTGACCTTGTCCAAGTGAAGTAATAATGGCAATGAAGAGACTGGTTAGGACCAGCTGCTACCAGTTACTTATATAACATTTATTTTTTAAAGTAAACATTTGTTTCTGATTAAATTATTAAACCAAATGTCTTAAATAAACATGTTTCACAAAAATAGGAACTTGTCATAAGTATAAAAATTCATAATATCTAACATAGTTTTTGATTGTGCCAGCAATATGTGTGTGTGTGTATATACTAAAAGTGTGCATTTGTTATACACACAAGATTTAGTCTACTTATAAATGACAATTTTCAATTTTAGAACATTCTAAATTTCCAACAGCACCTGTAATCAGTCAGCAATCCACAGTAAATTAGCATTTCCTTCTTACAGATGTTTATTTTGAGTATATGAGGGGGCAACCCCTCCCAAAACAGAAAAAAGATCCACTGGGTGGAGCTTTAGTAGTATGCATTTTTCCTGCTAAGTGAGTATCTAGCAACTCGCTCTGAGTTAGGGCACCCAGTGGCGTCACTTGGGAAGGTTCTCTCTGGTTGTGTTAGTTACATAATCTGGTGCCAACTTTAGACTATTAAGAGTGAAGGGTGGAGTTTATCCTATTAATCAAGTCGCTGCCTGATGACCTCATTTGGAGGTGCTATGGAGATAGATAGCTCACTGGAGGCGGGACACAGACACTCTCTGCTTGGTATTCCTGATGATAAGACACATGGAGCTACTCTAGAGGCCTGGAGCTGGAGGAGCCATGTGGAGACCCACACCAGCACTGAGATGCTTACACCATCACTAGATCCATAAGACTTTCCACCCATTGGCTTGTGATCTTCCCACATTTGGCATCATTGCATGTGTTTCAGGAGTCTGAAGAGGAATTTATAGATTGGTATCAGACATATGGACTAATATCAGCCTTTACTTGGTTTGTCAAACTTACTGCAGCGAGAACAGAAGCTGGGCTTTTGCAAGTTTGGTTAGGTCTGGTCTTCTGCTGTGAGGCTGGGTGATACTTGCAATTCCTCTCTAAGATTTTCCTTGCCCTGGCAGGCAGACACCTTGCCTTCCACGCTCTGCTGGGCGGGATCTGTATCAAGCTCCATTATCTATTTCCCTGCCGGGAAGTGTTTCTTGACGGTCCTTTATTGCTGAATTTTGAGCGACATTTACCTGCCCAATACGTTCCCTTCCTACAGAGGGTGCAAAGTTTGGATATGTTTAAACCTGAACTCGGTGGTACTGGCCCATGCTCTGGCACAGGCCGCAGCTTGCTTGTCGTTCTTTTTAAAAAAATCATTTTATTGGGGGCTCATACAACACTCATCACAATCCATACATACATCAATCATATAAAGCACATATGTACATTCGTTACCCTCATCATTCTCAAAACATTTGCTCTCCACTTAAGCCCCTGGCATCAGCTCCTCATTTTCCCCCTCCCTCATTGCTTTTCGACTTTGCCTCTTTGCTTCTATTTTCTGCGCTAATTTTATCTGTAAACTTCACTTCCTGAACTTCATCTTCTGTGTTAGCTCTCTCAGCTCTCGTGAGGTTTTATTTCTAACCAAAGCTTATATATCTTTGGGGGCATGCAAGCCCTCTGATTACAGATAACAATGTATGTCATGGGAAGGGGTTGTAACATAGGCAATACGAGCAATAGGAGGGGGATGACCTAGGGGTGTACACACAATAGTACAGGGAGGGAATAGGGGTACATATGTGTCAAGATGGGTGGACCCTAGACTCAATATAGTAGCCCAAGCTTAGTGGTCCCACGCTTGCCTTTCGGCACTCCTTTAAGGGAACAATATCAGAAGGGAGTGGGCTCTACTTCGGGTGAGTCAGACTATCCAGTCTGGTTGCTCTAGATACCCTTAAGGAGAATAACTTCTGACCTCCGTTCAATGACCTAGTGTACAGCCATTTACCATGTGTAGCAAGCAGCGTCTTGGGTTTGGCATATATTTGGGGGAGACAACTTGGGAGAAATCTTTCTGTTGACAGGAGATTCTATAACTGCCACAAATACATAGCTTTTTGGAGGAAAAAAAAATCCCTTTTTTGGGGGGGTACCCCTTCATATAGAAAATATGATATTTTTATCATTTGATCATTATGTAAACTATTCCTAATGTGTGCCTCCCCTGATCTTGGGTTCACTTAAAGTCTTCTTGCTCCCTCCCCCACCCCCACCCCCACAGGCCTGGTCCGGCCCATCCCCTCCCTGCCGGCTCCCTGAAGCCATGCCAGGTCAGGTTGCGTGCGGCTGGGAGCAGATGGCTGGACAGATGGGTACACTGACTAGAGGACGGAGGGCTGAGGGCACGCACGGCCCAGGCTGGCACTCTGAGGCAGGCCCAGAAGGGCTGGAGTGGCGGTCAGGTCCTGGGAGGAATGGAGAGGGTCCTAAGGAACCCCTCACTATCTTTTCTGAAAGTGGTCACTTCTTAAACAGCAGTTTGATTTGGCTGCCACTCTGGATTATAGGCCCTAAAAATGCCTGCTTATTTGGATTTAGAAGATGACCTGGAGAAATGATAACAATTAAGAAAGACAGTTTAATATCAATCCAGGGACAAAAGCTACTCATTTCTGCTAAGATGAGCAATGCATTGATGATGTCTACAATGGATGATCATATAACCATTCAAAGGAATTAAGTTCTAATGCATGCTACTAATTTGGAGGAACATTGAAAACATGCTAAGTGAAGGAAGCCAGACATAATAGGATAACTATTATGGAATCCACCCTTCATGTACATGTCATGTCTAGAATAGGCAAAAATGCCTACAGACAGAAAGTAGATTTGTGGTTTCTAAGGGTTAGAGAAAGATGAGAACGCAGAGTGACCGCTTAATGCGGTATGAAGTTTCTGTTTGGTGTATTGAGGAAATTTTGGAAACAAGTATTGGTAATTGTTGGATATTGTGAATATAACTAATGCCACTGAATTTTGTACTTTTAAGTTAAACAAATCGAAAAATTCATTTTGTATGTATTTTAGCACATAAAAAATGTGTGTGTGTATATACATATATGGTTTTATCCCTGATTCCCTCATTCCCAATATTATAGGTTTACAAAAAGATATTATGTAAAGCATAATATATTGAACTTTATATGTAGTTTCCCCCCCAATATCTTTAGGAATTAATTGTTAGTGGACTGTGTAAGATATGAAATAATAATAATATATAATTTATCAAGGGTTCATGAGGGAGGGAGAGGAAGAGAAAAAAGAGGAGCTGATATCAAGGGCTCAAATAGAAAGAAAATATTTAAAAAATAATGATGGCAACATATGTACAAGTGTGCTTCATACAATTGATGAATGGACTGTTATAAGAGCTGTAAGAGCCCCCAGTAAAATGCTTTAAAAACTTTAAAAAAAAGTCTTCTTCTTCTTTAACTTTGATTGCTTGAATGAAGCTGGTAGTTTTCTAACAAACGTACTCATGGTTATATCATCAGCACAATTTGGAAGAATTAACTAGTTCATCTCCATAATTTAAAGATTCTAGCATTGTGAATTTCATAGTTTCTATTTATTCTCATACTCTGTCATTCATAAATGGCAAATAAAAGTGAAACAGCTAAAAAAAGTCGTAAAACTATCTTTTTGAAAATCTATGGCCTGCATATGTCACCCTATTTATTTGAGTTGTTATGCTCTACTTAGTAAATATATGTATTTTCTTATCTAAATAAATTATTAATTAGTCCAAGAAGGGCAGGCATGCCCTATTCCCTTTGGCATCACTCAATATCAATCAATTACTTGAATAAGGAGCTCTGGTAGTGTGGTGGCTTAAGCATTGGGCTGCTGACCTCCAGGTTGGCAGTTCAAACCCACCAGCCATTTTGAGAGAGAAAGATGAGGCTGTCTGCTCCTGTAACAATTTATAGCTGTGAGAATCTTAGGGAGTATTTCAGATAAGGATTGCTATGAACTAGAAGTGACTGTGTGACAATGGGCTTGGTTTATTTGTACTCTGAAGAGGTTCACACTACCCTTGGGGGTGGGGGTGTAACAATGAATAACTCAGTTGCATTCTTTGCCCTGAGGGAGCTTACACTCCAGAGGCTAGAGAGACACCATACAGACCAGTTACGAGCATGGATGCACTGAGACTCAGTTTCATCAATTCTTTAACTGGGATAACGATATTGCCAATCTCAGGGTTGTTGTAAAAATTGAAATGCAAATAAAATGCTTCCACCAGTGCTTGGCACAGAGGAGACAATAATTTAAAATATCATTATATTTGTTGTCAATAATTGGACATAACAATAAAACACATTGGGAAGACGTCCCACAGGGACGTTTTTAAAGATTGCTTCCTAATTAATTGAGATTTCCTGCTGACTTTGAAGATGTCATTTTATTTTATGATTCTTCCAGTGCCACCTCTTTGTTTAATATCTGGACCAAATACGCCCCCCGGCTGCCGGCTGCTTATTACAACAAGAAGCTTCTGCAGGTTGGAGATAGCCTTTGTCAAATGAAAGTAAGTGCCTCCTGAGGAAAAAGAGCCAAAGTGAAACTCAGCTTGGTTAATTATTTTATTACCTGGTTCCTTAGCATTCACCTTAGTTATCTAGAGCTGCTGTAACAGAAATACAGCAGATGCATGGCTTTAACAATCAGTTCTTTTCTCACTGTGGAGGAGGCTCCAGAAGACCCCACACAATGCCATCAAGTCAGTTCCGACTCAGCAACAGAGGACAGCTCTTCTCTGTGGGTTTCCTAGACTTTACATCTTTACGCCAGTAGAACGCCTCATCTTTCTCCCATGGATTAGATGTAATTTTGAGCTGCTGACCTTGCAAAAAGCAGCCTAACATGTTACTCATTACACTACCATGGCTCCTACCTGCCGTGCTACCTCTGCTCCTTTGAGGAGGCTAGAAGCCTCAAATCAGGGTGTTGGCTCTAGGGCAGGGGGCCTCAAACTTTTTAAACGGGGCCAGTTCACTGTCCCTCAGATCCGTTGGAGGGCCAGACTATAGTTTAAAAAAAAAACTATAAACAAATTCCTATGCACACTGCACATATCTTATTTGGAAGTAAAAAACAAATGGGGCAAGAACACCTGGTGGGCGGGATGAATGTCCTCCGTGGGCCGCTTGTGGCCCACGGGCCGTAGTTTGACGACTCCTGCTCTAGGGCAAGGCTTTCTATCTCCAGCAACTCTGGTGGAAGGTTCTTGTTTCTTCCTTTTTAAGCCTCTGGTAAATCCCATATTTATATACAGACCAGGCAGGTGAACAGCCTTGCTATCAGACAGAGTACATTGAAAAGTGGGTTTTTGCAGTGATAGTTGGCTTCAATGGAGTCCTGGTAGTTTAGTGGTTAAGCATTAGGCTGTTTATTGCAAGGTCAGCAGTTTGAAATCACCAGCTGTTCCTCACGAGTAAAGAGCTACAACCCCGTCCAACAGGGCCGCTAGGAGTCGCTATCAGCTCGATGGCAGTGAGTTTGGTTGGAGTGAGGTTAAAATGCTACACCTTATCATTTGATCTCCCTTTGGACTCATTTTAAATTTGTTCTAAGTTTTAATATTTTCAGCTTTCTTTGTGATTGAAGTTTTTCCCTGTTGTTGTTTTGATATATTTTTGTGTTGATGAAACCCAGCATAGACAAATCTATAAAAACAGTAACTGGATTAATAGTTTCTTAGGGGTGTGGCAGGAGAGGATTGGGGGAAACAGACAATAACAAGGAATACAAGAAAGAAGAAAATGTTCTAAAGTTGATTTTGGTACTGATTGCACAATTCTTTGTAATAGGATTGAACTACTGAATTGTATGACATGCGAATTTTATGTCAATAAATCTGTTAGAAATAGGGAGAGATGGACTCATGATACACCTTACACAAACTTAGCTCATTAACATAACAAAGACAACCCTATCCCAAATGGGATTATAACCACAGGCATAGAGGTTAGGGTTTACCACATACATTTCTGAGAGCCATAATTCAGTCCATAACATCTCACCCTTTGATGCCCTCTCCCCAGCTCACATCCTCGCCACATGCACAGCTTATTCACCTGAGCACATAAATCAACTCCAAAACCTCATCTGCAGAAGCGTCTAAATCAAATATGGATGAGGCTTTAGTTACATTTCATCCTGGGGCAAAATTCATCTTCAGTCATGGCCCTGGGGAATCTGGAAAGCAGGTGATCTGTTTCCGATGTTCAATGGGAGCACAGCAGGAAAGTGGATATTTCTTTTACAAACGGGAGAAACCAGAAGGAAGGGATAACAGGCACCAACCTAGTTCCAAACCCACCAGGACGGATCACCTTAGCTCTCAAAACTTGAACATAAGCCTCTGTTCGCTGAGACCCTGTGGCCAATGGCCCAGCCCTCTAGGCTCCAGGTGTTGGCAATGGCCTCTGGATATTAGTGGAGGTCCCATAACCCGGGGTTCAGGGCCTCTGGACCTGTAGGAACAGCAACTCTGCTCATGTGGCTCTGGGTGACTCTGTGCTTATAGATCTGGGTGGTTACCTCATCTCCTTGTCTCCAGCAGGTCCCATTCCTCTGCCCCTTGGGCATGGCTAGGGGTTGGTGACCCAGTAAGCATGTGCCTCTCCAAAACTACAAGCCATTGAGTCAATTCTGACTCATAGTAACCTGTAGGGCAGGATAGAACTGCACTTGTGGATTTCGGAGAGTGTAACTGTACGAGAACAAAAAGTGTTGTCTTTCTCCTGATGAGTGGCAGTTTTGAACTGCTGACCTTGTGGCTAGCAGCCCAACATGTAACCACTACACCACTAGAGCTCCTAGCATGTGCCTAGCCCTAGGCACCAGCAAAGCAGAGGCACCTGCTGTCCAAAGCAAAGACCCTTAGATGCCAAGCAGATAGGACATAAGGGAAAGCTGATGCCAGCTCCACCGAGTGGCCTTGATGCCACAGCGGGTTAAGCACGGGGCTTCTAACTACAAAGTCAACTGTTCGAATCCACCAGCTGCTCCACAAGAGAAAGAGGAGGCTTTATGTTCCTGTGAAGATATCCAGTCTTGGAAACTCAGATGCTGCATGCATTTATAGAATGTTCCAAAGGGTGAGTAGTAAGAGGAGGAAGGGGCACCCCAGAAGATCAGTGTTTAATGCCCTCACGAGCCTTAATTTGTCCCTGCAATGGAAGCCCCACAACAGCTCAGTCTTGGCTGGTAACACCATCCTCCTCCCTTAATGATAAGCCCTCATTCTGGAACTGAGTTCCAGAGCTCAGACTGAAACCTGTGACAGCTTTTCCATTGAGATCCAGGAGACTGCGGCCCTGCCCTTGGAGACCTAGGCTCTGCTTCCCAGGCCTCTCCCAACACACTGGTCGCAGAGCTGTTCTTCACTTTACTTGGAGGACAATCGATGTAGCATTTTTGGTTGTTTCATGGCTTCCAAGAGTCAGACATCTTTCGTCCTTTTTGTCCTTTCTCTGTCCTGAATGGATAGACTTTCTGATGCGGTGGTTGGTTAGAGCCAACAGTCACCGGCTTAATCTCTTTAGCAAAAGATTGTGTAGGCATGTTCTTGGGAATATTCTAGGAAACATGTTTTTAGTTTGTACAATAGAATTTTCCAAATCTTTAACTTCTGTTTTCATTTTACACAGTTCGTTGTATGTGCATTTCTCTCTGGAATGTTACTGTAAGTGGCAAGGAGAAAACACATGGCCCCTTTAAGGTCTTGCTTAGAAATCTCAGTCAAATGTGTTTATCACCTGTAAATTCTCTTTCATCAAACATTTGAACATAATTCAGCAAGTTCTTTGCCATTGCAGCAAACAAAAACACCTTCCTTTCTCCATTATCCAATTACATGTTCAACATTTTCTTCTAAAGTCTCACTAGAAGTACATTCACTGTCCTATTTCTAGCACATTTTGTTGCCGGCATCACATGTATTCTCTAAAAGAATAGACTTTCTCTAGAGCTTTCTTCACTTCCTTTTGACTTCTCATCAGAATTGTGTTTGGCATTTATAATTCTATGAACAATCTTGTTCAGGGTAAATTAGGCTGTTCCTATTAGGCACCTTAAAATCCTTCTAGCCTCTCTTCATTGCCCAATTCCAAAACCACTTCCACATTTGTTAGAGCAGCATCCCACTCGTCCGGTACCAAATTCTGTTCGATTTGCCCAGTGCTGCTGTCACAGGAATACCACAAGTAGACGGCTTTAGCAAATAATTTTACTTTCTAGTTTAGGAGGCTCAACATCTGGATTCTAGCTCCAGGGTAAGTCTTTCTCTCCCGGTTGGGTCTGGAGGGAGGCCCTATTTCTTCTGAGCTTCTGCTCTTGGGCAGTCTTCAAAGGCCGGGGCATCTCCCATCCCTCATTTCTTCTTTGCTTGCTTGTGTAATTGCTTTTCTATTTCAAAATAGATTGACTAAAAGTGCACCCTACACTAACCCTGCCTTCTTAACAGAACAAAGACAACCTATTTTCAAATGGAATTATACCCACAGGTGTAGTAACCACAGTGGGGGGCTTAATTAAATCTGTGACATCATTCCTATTTCATGTCTTGATCTTTATTCTTAGAAAACAAAGGGATATCTAAAAAGTCTAAAGTGTTCGCGTTTTAGCTTTGTAGTTGGAATACCGAAGAGGTGAGAGATTCCTGGGCGGGAAGTCAGCTGGCTGGGGATGGGCGGGAGGGTGTGGTAAATGCACAACAGGAAATGCTGAGTCATCGTGTTCCTACCTTATACAAAGGAGCCCAGGCACCACTTCCTGTTGTTTTTCACAGAGCTGGCCTTGCCTTGGGGGGACAGCCCCCAGAGCTTCTGGCCTTTCTGCTTTGTTGTCTGGTTCCCAGAACCCTTGTTTTAATGACTGGAGACTCAGTTTTACTGCATAGGATTGTAGCCATCCTTCCAGCGATGTCTTGCCTCTTGCTCTGTACTGTGTTCCCAATAGAGTTTGTGCCCGACATTTAGTTCCATAGCAGTGTCCAGGGTTTTAGGCTGCTATGGACTTCTGGACTTGGTTTGATAAGAACATACTGTGGCTGGCGGGGTTTCCAGTTAGTGAAAAGGTGGGATCTACCCATTAACTCTGGCCTGGGCCCAAACTATCCCAAGTGAAAGAGAATGTTTGGCACGTCTCAGATCCTGGATAAAGAGTTGTTTTATTTAAAGGGGTTCTAGGCCGGATATGGGCAGTGTTCAATGTCCCCTCCATCTTTTCCTTTCTCTGCTTCAGTTTTCTCCTGTTGCTGTTTTCTGGGCCTTTATCTTTCTGGTCTAGGAGGGTCTGTTTGATTCCTCAGGTGGGAAATACCTGGGTCCTTGGCTTCACAGGAGAAAGAAATCACGCGGAAGCCTGGTTTGTGATCCAAGTGAGTTTTTATAAAGGATAGAAGTTTCATGTTTTACACGGGCATCCTCAGGGCACTACACACCCACACATGGCGACCCGAGGCCACAGAAACTGCAGCCAGGCTGAGTTGCAGCTGGAAAAGAGACTGGTTGGCGGGCTCCCGATTATGGCTTTTTAGGGTCCTCCACTGGGAGGCGTGGTCGACGGTCCTGGTTTTCCCCATTGGCTGAATTAAATCCACTTGGCCTAGATTGGGGCCCACCCAGGTGTACTGGCTTCCTGGCTCAAGGGCCTGAATTTGCACATGGCCCCTAGCTTTTATCTGCTTCCAACTTCTGGGGGGAGGGGAGGCCTTGGCATGTAGAGGGACAACTGGTTTCTGCCTGTAGCTACCTAACAGGACGTTTACCAAGTAAGAGATATGTAGTGAAGGAACTTTTAGGATGAAGAACTGAAATCCATTTTTCTGCTGCTGATCTTAGAAAACACCCCCCAGCCTCTTGTAGTTGCCTTATGGTTCTTAGGAGCACACATGTAGGGAGGTAAGAAAATCAAAGTCCGGTGAGAAGCAGTTGGTCAGTTTATATTTCTGTGAAGTGGAAAAACAGCTTTGTGGGGAATCAGAAGAGATTCTTGTTCGCTGTGGTTCTCACAGAGAAGCCGGTGGTGCCCAGCAGGGTTTGGGGTTGTTTGAAGAGTAGCCAGGTGGGTGGAAGAGATAATGGTGGAGGGAAGATACAGGAAAGAGAGTGTTAGAAGTTGATAAAGCAAATTGGTGATGGGTTATGGGGGAATGTCTAAGACATTGAGAAGGGAAAGGCCCAGATACTAGATATTTAAACTTAGGAGGCACAAAGAAAAATCGTAGCTACTTTTCACTGATGGGAAAGGAGAAGAATGTGGTGCCCCTATAAGTGTGTATGATCCTGAAAATAAACCTGGGCATTACTTTGGCTTCTAGAACCCTTTAAAAAAAATTCATTTATTAAGAGAATCAAGGTCATCCTTTGGAATATTCTTATTTTGAACCTCCACTTAAGTTCATCATATGTATCAGTGAAAATGTTAGGTAGCAGAACAGGGACCAGGGGTATCTACTGAGCATGCTCCAAATTCAGGCTCTTGAGCCAGGAAGGCAGTACACCTGGATGGGCTCAATTTAGGCCACGTGGGCTTAATTCAGCCAAAGGGGTTAACCAGTACCATCGACCACGCCTCCCAGCAGAAGGCCCCAAGAAGCCGGAGCCTGGAGACCTCAGCCCTCCTTTTCCATTTGCTCCTCAGCCTTCGGCCTGGGCCATGTCACAGTCTCTCTCTTGGGACTTAGGTCGCCACATGTGGGGGTGCAGTCCATGTTCAGTGACTGTAAAACCTGAGACTTCTACCCTTTATAAAAAACACACTTTTATCACAAACCAGGCTTCAGCGTGAATTTCTTTCTCATGCGAAGCCAAGGCCTGAAGAATTTCCCACCGGAGAAACCTAACAAGAAGGGAGAAGATTCAACGATTCAGAATTATTTAGGGAGTAAAACAGTCATCAGAAATGCAAACCACACAGCATTTGACCCAGATGGCTTCCAAGAGGCTGGGTAACTATGGACCCACCATGCACTCCCAGGGCGGCTGCTTTCTCTGAGGACGATTACTGGGAGGAAGCTGAGAAAGGGCTGTGGACTGACATTCAGGAACTTGCGGGGCCAGCTGTGCCTTGGACATTACAGAAGGCAGGCGACTGACTGTAGTGGGAACTAGTGGGGACTCTAGTAGAAATGAGAACTAAGAACACTACAGACCAATCTTTTTTTTTTTTAAATAATTTCATTGGGGCCTCTTACAGCTCCTGTAGCAATCCATACACATTTGTACATAGGTTGCCATCACCATTTTCAAAACATTTTCTTTTTACTTGGGCCCTTGGTATCAGCTCCTCTTTTTACTCTCCCCAACCCTTCCCACCTTTGTGAACCCTTGATAAATTATAAATTATTTTTTTCATATCTTACACCATCCACTCTCTCCCTTCACCCTGTTTCTGTTAGTCATTACCCTGGTTGGTGGGGGGGGGGCCGGTTGTTATACATTGATCATTGTGTTTGGTTCCCCCCTTTCTCCCTCTTCTCCCTTCACCTTGCCCCCACCCTCATGGTATCACTACTCCCATTATTATTCCTGATAGGTTAATCTGTCCTGGATTCCGTGTGTTGAGAGTTTCTGTCTGTACCAGTGTACATGCTCCTGTCTAGTCGGATTTGTAAGGTAGAACTGGGGACATGATGGTGGGGGAAGATGGCAATATATGTACAAATGTGCTTGACACAATTGCTGCAGGTATGGATTGTGATAAGAGTTGTATGAGCCCCTAATAAAATGATTTAAAAATTTTATAACCAAATGACACACAGAAAAATATGAAGTTGTACAGGCAAAGTTAAGATGAATAAACCCAAAAGAGGAGCTAATACCAAGAACTCAAGTAGAAAGAAAATGTTTTGGACAGGCTGATGGTGACATATGTACAAGGGTGCTTAATACTATTGAATGATGGATTGTTATAAGATTTGTAAGAGCCCCCAATAAAATGATTAATTAAAAATAAAAGAGTTGTACAAGCCCCCAATAAAATTATTTTTAAAACCCCAAAAAACTAGAGGAAGGTTGTCTGTTTCGTCAGTGCTCTACTGCACCCTGGCGGGCTGGTCTTCTTGACCTCGGCCTGCTGGTGCTTCGGAGAGTGTTTGCAGGTGAAGGGGAGAAAGCTGGAGTACTAGGTACATTTTTCTGTTTGTCTTCTCCTCCTCCTTTTAAAGCTCAAGAGGTATTACAGAAGTGAGATCAGTGACGGGGTGAGTAGGTGGAGAGGACCCCTGGTGCCTCTGTGGGTTAAGCACTGAAGGGTTCATCAAAAGGTGGTCGATTCAAGCCCACCAGCTGATTCTTGGGAGAAAGATGAGGCTGTCTCCTCCCATAGAGCAACCCCATGGAGCGATTGTGCTCTGCCCTGCAGGGCCCGTGTGGATGAGAACCCACTGGATGGCAGTGGGCTTGGGGTGGGGAGTAGGTTCATTACTAGGACTGGGGGATATTGGACATGGGTCTTGGGTTTGGGGTATTACCACAGTGAATATTCTCATGGTGGTTCCATCTCAAAAAGGCTTGTTGTGGGGAGGATTTACAGAAGCAAGGGACAGAAGCCCCTATGTGTGCAGTCTGCGCTGTCTGTGCTTGGGAAATGGCCTTAGTTGTGGTGGTGACAGTGCCACCCATCAATGACGCTATGGAGACTACCATCTTAATAGCGGATCAGCCAAAAGACGCTTTGAAGCATTCATGAAGCCCGCTTTTTATTTTAGGAACACAGATTGGCCCTCGTGCAGTGCTACGGGAGATACCTCCAGCAGTTCAGTGCCAACGTTGACGAGTCCAAAGCGGATGGGATGCAATTCAAAACCGTCTTTTTTCCCAAAGGCCTGGGAGATGAAACTGCTGGACTGACAGTAAGAGGAAAGAACCAGTGAAAATATTTGATTATGACCTATGACACTGTTCCCTTTAGTTGACAGCTTCTAGATGTCTTTTCATTCACTTGGTGTATGAACTATCTAGCTCTGTCACAAGTCGCTTAGTACTTTAATTGCTGCCATCGATTCCTTGAGCAGTTCCCATGGCGGATACTCTTCTAAACATTCCATGTTTGACCATCTCATAGCCTGGCTACAGTTCTAAGAAGTGGGCACTTTTATGCCTGTTGTATAGCTGAGGAAATTATTAGCAATTAAGTAACCAGCCCTCTGGAAGCAAGGTACAGGACTGGTGTTGGAACCCTTATCAGTGTGACTTCAAAGCATGGTTTATTACAAACTACTCAGGGCCTCGTAAGCAGCATGTGGCTTAATATGAGAAAATCACAAAGCCTTTTGGGGGCCACTGAGCGGCTCCTTTAGGCTGTGCCACCAAATGCATGCATGAGACTACTGGGTAATGTGTTGAGGGATGTCGGGTAAAGTACACGGTCAGAGGATTGAATAACAATGGAGGGGGTGTACTTTTAAGGCCTGCCCTTCCTCACCTGGGTTCTGGCCTCCCATTTCTTACTTTCTTTCACTATTGCCTTATCCTGAGTCCTTCTGGCCCTTTACCTTAAGGCCGGTGCATTGGTGAGCCCCTCTGTCTGAAAGCTCAGATCCGAGATAAGATCCTCACTTCCTGAAAGTGGGGAGGGCTTGAAGTACTTATGGATGGAGATAAGAATTGTGGGCTTCAGTATGGATTACAGCTCAATGTAAAGAAGACCCAAATCCTCACACCTGGACCAATAGGCAACATCATGATGAATGGAGAAAAGAGTTAAGTTGTCAGGGATTTTGTCTTGCTTGTCCGCAATCCATGCTGATGGAGGGAGCAGTCAAGAGGCCAAAGGATGCATTGCATTGGGTAAATCTGCACAAGACCTCTTTAGAGTGTTGAAAAGCAGGGAGGTTACTTTGAAGACTAAGGTGTGCCTGACTCAAGCCAAAGTATTTTCAAAGGCCTCATGAGTGAGAAAGTTGGACATGGAATAAGGAAGACTGAAGAATCAATGCATTTGAATCATGGTGCTGGAGCAGACTATTGAAAGTCCCATGGACTGACAAAAGAAGAAGCAGATTTGTCTTGGAAGAAGTACAGCCATCGTGCTGTTTAGAGCCAAGCATGTCAAGACTTCATCTCGTGTATTTGGACACATTGTCGAGAGAGACCCGGCGAGAAGCAGAGGGGCAGCAGAGAAGTGGAAGATCCTCAAGGAGACAGATGGACACCGTGGCTGCAGCAATGGGCTCAGCATGGGAACAATTGTGACAATGGTGCAGGACTGGGCAGTGTTTCGTTCTCTCGTGCATGGGGTCACTCTGGGGCGGAACTGGCTCGATGGCACCTAAGAAAAAGAACAGCAACCTCTTCACTTCCTGTAGGTCTCCTGCACCCACTACTTTATTTTTTCTCGACAGCACTTACTTTTCCCCTCTTATATTTTTGTTTATTTTCCTGCTGGGAAGGAATGTGAACTGTCGAATGTGAACTCTGAAGGACTGTACCGAGGGGACTCCAGCAAGTTCATGGAGAACTAGAGTGAAAAGATAATGGATAGTTTCCACAGACTTTTTTTTTAAGCCTCCCAGTAGCCTGCCTTAGTCGAGGCCAGCAGGCCCGTGTATTAGGGATGGAAAGCCAGGAAGAATTTTGTTTCAGACCTGCTGAGTTTGAGTTGCTGGCAAGACACCATTGCTGTAGTTTTCCATAAATATTTTATCACTACGAGTTCTAAAGGGTAGTTCTATATAGATCTGTGTTGAATGAGTAAATGAAAGGATGGATTAAACATTGAGCACAGCGGAAACATGACATAAATATAGATGTTGAGAAAAATGTGGGAGAAATAAATTTGAGAATTTAAATACATAAAGAACATAGCTGAAGCAGGAATAAAAAAATTCTGTCAAAATATCAGCAGTGAAGTTTAATGCAAAGGTACTTACCGTGTGTTCTTTAATGGTTCCCCAGTGTATCTTCCCGGAGAGCCCTCTTGGTGCAGTGGGTATGAGTTTGATCGCAGGAGCCGGCCTCCAGCGTTGGAAGACCTGGGTTTCCACTTCCTGATTGTGTCACCCTGGCAAAGTTGTGTAGCTCCTTTGCACCTCAGTTTCTTCATCTGTAAAATAGAAGCATAAGGCTGTATTTGGATTGATGAGATGAGATAAGGCTTAGAACAGTGCCTAAGACTAAGAAAATATTAGATATCTGTTACTAAAAGAAAGAGCACCCGGAAGATAATAATTGTTCCAACATATAGCAGCTTCATGTGGTAGCTGTCTTTTTCTGTTATGCTTATTTTCCATTTATGCTACAAGTGTCCCAGCCTGATGCAAGAAGAAGGCCCATTTGTGGCATAAAAAGAGTGCCTGTCCCCATAAATTGATTAAACAATCTCTGTGTCTTCTCTCGATTTCACTTCTATCCAATGGCATGCTGAATGCCTCACACTCAGCACTCAGCCTGAACTTGTTCCCTTCCCTCCATAATTGGCATCAGGTCTACCTCTTTCTTTGCCTTACCTCCCACATCTAACTGGCCACTGAGTCCTGTTGACGGGGCTCAGATATTTCCTTTCTCTTCATCCCTGACTGCAGGCCTCACCCCAGGACTGTGCTAGATCTGGCTTACAGTAGGGGCCTTGGGTCTAGCCTTTCCGAATGTAACTTTGGTTCCACCCCTCATCTTCTGGACATTTGTTATTTTCAAAAGGAAAAAAAATCATGTTGCACCTCTGCTCCTAAGAACTTCTTCTTTTGAATAAAGTCCATCTTCCTCAGGCTATGTCCTGGAGGGGTCTCCATGTTCTGACACTGTGTCATTCCTATGACTCTTTATCCTCAACCCCCATCTCCAGTCTAATAAAAAGACTTTCCAGTCAGTGACCGTACCAGTGACTTTGACCTCCTGTAACATTGAATGTCCACCACCCATCTGTCAGTTTGTTGTGCTGTGGTAGAGTGTGTGTTGCTGTGATGCTAGGCCCCTCGAATTTCAAATGCTAGCAAGATCACTCATGCCGGACATGCTTCAGCAGAACTTCCAGACTAGGGCAGAATAGGCAGATGTCTACTTCCCAGAATTATCCGTGAAATCCTTAGGAGCCACAAGAGAACGCTGTCTGACTCTCTTGCCTGGGATATGTTGTCTGGAGGGATAATTGCTGGAGGCGGACCTCAAGTTCTGTGAAATAGAGGGCCAGGGAGGGAGAATGAGACTCTGGGTGAGATTGCCAGAATTTGTAAGGATGACGCAGGATCAGGAAGCATTTGGATTTTGTTGTCCACGAGGTTGCCATGGGTTGGAGCTGACTTGACGGCAGCTACCTCCCTATACCTCTGTAACATTGTATGTGCCTGGGATGATTCTCCCTCTGTCAGAAGAGTGAACAAATCGGTATTGGAAGAAGTACATTCAGATTTCTCCTCGGAAGTGAGGATGGCAAGACCTTGTCTCATGTCCTTGGGACATGCTATCAGGAGGGAGCAGTCCCTGGAGAAGGACACGATGCTTGGTTAAGTCGAGGGTCAGTGTAAAAGAGGAAGGGCCTCCACCCGATGGATTGACACAGTGGCTGCAACAGTGGGCTCAAACACATCAGTGACTGTGAGGGTGGTGTAGGACAGGGCAGTGCTTGGTTCTGTTGCACCCAGACAGGGTCACTGTGAGTCAGGATTGTCTAGATGACAGCCAACTACAGAGCAAGGACTGCGTCCTCCTCATCTTTGAAGCTCCATTGCCTAGCAGATTGTGGCAAAACCAAAGCTCATTACCAGTGAGTCATGCTGACTCACAGTGACTCGTAGACAAGCATTGAACTGCCCCTGTGGGTTTCCTAGACTGTAATTTTACTCTTCAGAGGAGCAGCTGGTGGGTCTGAACTGCTGACCTTGTGGTTAGTAGTGCAACTGGAAGACACTATGGCAACAGAGATCCCCATGGTGCAGAGAGGTGTTCATTATGTAAATGATAATACCCTTGAATGAAAGGTTGGAAAACTACCACTGGGTAGCTTTACAAAAATGGATTTAATTTTATATTCTGGTAATAGACTTTCTATTTCTGGTTTCCACGTTGAATTTTCTTTGGCTTGGAGAACTGAAATAGCACCTTTGAGGAAACCTATCTTGCCATGGTACTTCCTCTACTTAGAGCCATCTAAGCAGAATTGTTTCCCATTTCGTTTGGTATGTTTTAAGAAATGTTTTTACCAAGTGACACACAGCTTATTTATGTTCTTATGTGCTTATATCTTCTCCTGTGTTTCAGTTTCATGCTTTAAACAGCAAAAATATTTGCACCTACCAGCTGGTCTGTGACAGTGATGCAAACCTACAGAATAGAGAGTCTGTGGTCCAGTGTCTGCACATCTTGTCCTCCATAAGAAACATCATGCAGGTGGCTTTGCCCCAGGAGCACCTCTGCTGGATTATTTTCAATGGTATGGACCCCTGGCTTCTATTGCACCGGGTCTTTTTGAAGGCCACTTAAATGCCAAGGTTGACAGTAACTTGGGTACTTTGTATGTGTTTTATATATACATGTTTATATGTATATATTTAAGAAATAGACTGATATTTGTTGATGAAATATAACTTGTAATAAAAAATATTCTCCCACAGAAAATTTCAGCTCTCAATGACTTCCTTCCTGAATTCTGTGAAAAATGTAAACAAGAAATAATGCAAATGTTATCAACACTCTTTCAGAAAATAGGCAAAAGGAAGTCTTCACAACACATTTATTGCAGCCAGCCTTAGCCTAAGCTCTAACCGATAAAGACATTGCATTACAGACTTTCGGAAATCCCTTATAAAAACAAATCTCATAAGCTCGTCTCAGTTTCTTAGTGCTGCCATAACAGAAATATCACAAGTGGGGTGACTTCCAAGAACAGAAACTGACGTTTCTCCAATTTGGGGAGGTTAGAAGTTCAAATCCACAGAATGACTCTTGGAAGAGAGAAATCCTTTGTCTCGTACACCTTCTAGGAGCCGCAGCCCGTGGAGTTGGCTGGGCTTGTAGAGTCACTTGTCCTC